AAGGCAGAAAGGCAGAGGGCAAAGGGACCCATCAGACTGTCCTGGGTGGTGGGAGAGGATGTGTGCCCTGCTGGCTAATCCTGGCCCTTCGAGTATCTTTAAGGACACACTGGGGATTACTCCTACCTTCAACATGCTTGACCCTATCAGTGACCTAATTGTGCACCAGTGACCCAGCACTGAGGAAAACCAGGGCCACTTTTGTCCCCCTTGGACTCTGATTCTCAACAGGTCACTTCCCCTCAGGGTCCCCATCTGCGCCGTTAACTGTGAACTGAAACAGCACCAGTCCCAGGGAGGGAGTGACCAGTCCATTTGAGAAAGCACGGGACTTTCTGGACTGTGGCCCACGCTCCTTAGAAGTCGGGAGGGCAGTGGCTCCGGACACCCAGGACAATGCTCTTTCCCCACACACCAAAGCACATCCCACTCCCACATCTCCGATTCTACCTTCATCTTTCCCCATACCGTTCCCCAGATGACCCTGGGCTGGGGGCTGTCTGAATGTCCCTCAAGTAGCTGGACCCACCTTGCTTCTTCCCAAGGCCCTCCAGTCCAGTTGTCTAGACCTAGGACAGTACTATCCCCGCCCCCCACCCCCACCCCGGAGCTAAGGACCGAACCCAGGGCCTTGCGCTTGTTAGGCAAGAGCTCTAAATCCCCAACCCCAGACAGTACTGTCTTGGGGACAGGCACTGCCAGATCTGAATTCACCTCCTGACAGGCCTTTGGGGATCTCTCAGGTGTGACAGCACCTCCCACAGACCAGGATGAGCCCAGACCTCCTGGCTCCTCCCCTGCAGCTGGAACACATCCCAGCAGCTGGAACACATCCCAGCCTCTGCAGCTACAGAACTGCATCAGATAATGATCCAAGCCTGACTTATGCCTGGGGACATCATTCCTGACTGTTCCCAGACCCTAGCAGCCAGCCCTGCCTATCCACCCAAGAGGGTCCAGCTAGCCCATCTGCAGACACCCTACCCACGCTGACCTCTCCACAGGCCTGTTCTTCTCAAACTCTTCTCGGGGCCCTCCACCCGAGCTTCTCACTTCCCTCTTCTCCACTGAACCGTCCCACCCACGCGCCCCACCCAAGGGAAGGCTCAGTGCTCTGAGGTCTCCAAGGACTCAGGAGAGCAAGCCAAAGCTGTTCCTCAGCTACTGGGGGGCTAGGGTCCACCACCGACTCATCACTGCGGCCTCAGGCAAGGCAGGTTCTGAACATTTTCAAGTCTGACCAACGAGGAAAGCCCCGGTTCCACTCACCAGTCTGCGCGCAGGCGAGGAAAGCCCGGTCCACTGCCCAGACAGAAGCTGCACCCGCTGCTGTGGTTGCTTAGTCACATTTCCTGGGTTGGGTCACTGGCTCTGTACTTCTTTCCCCTCCTCCCCCTGACTAATTAGTCTCATCACCCGGAGTACATGTGATTTTTATTTATTTATTTTCTTTTTTTGAAGCGAAGTTCCAAGAGAGTGGTTTGGGGACTGGTCGGTTTCGGGGTGTGTGTGTTTTCATTTTGATATTTTGTTTGGTTTGGAGATGTAGCCAAGGCTAGCCTCTAAATTACCATGCAGCTCAAGCTGGCCTTGAACTGGTTCTCCTGAGTGCTGGGATTACAGATGTGCACCACCATGCCCAGCTGTTTGTTTGGTTGTTGTCTGTGTGTCTATCTGTTTGTTTGTTACTGAGACAGTCTTACTTTGGAGCCCAGGCTGTTAGGAAACTCAATATGTAGCCCGGGTTGGCCTCAAATTTCTGACAACCCTCCTGTCTCTGCTTCCTGAGCACTAGGATTCCCTGGACCAAAGTATCATGCCAGGTACCTTGACACATTTAAAAACGTCTCGAAAATGCTCAAAATACTCAAAGACTACCCCTCAGCTGGTCGGGTGGCTCACGTCTTTGATCCCAACATTCAGGAGGCAAAGGAGGTGGATCTCTGAGTTCAAGACCAGCCAAAACTACGAGTTGAGGTCCAGGACAGCCAGGACTACACAGAAAAACCCTGCCTCGAGAAACCAAAATACATAAATAAATAATGAAAACATACACTATCCCTCAGTCTGCTGCTCATTTACTAGATGTCCACGGTCACACAGTCTGGGCACTGGAGATCTAGGAGACATCAATAGAAATTAGCGTGGCCAGCCAGCGGATGTGGTGGCACACACCTGTAAAACCAGCATTGTGAGACTGGAGAATCAGAAGTTTGGCTACATAGAGAGTTCAAAGCCAGCCCAGGGTATATAAGACCCTGGAATCCCTGTGGACCTCCTTAAAAAAAGAAGCAAATAAGTATGATCAAGCCAGCCAGAATCATAGCACAAAACCATGCCTCAAAGAAAAAAGAAACAGAGGGTGTAGGGTTTCAGGCTGAACCCAAGGCAACCATCTCTCCTTTCACCCAGTCACGGAAAGATAGTACATACTCAGGCGGGTCTAATTTGCTGGCCCCATGAAGGACCCTGGGGCACAGCCCAAAGTCACATAGGAAGCAGGAAGCTGAGCCAAGGAGGCTGTGATTCCCTTTTGAGTCTCTAGAGCAGTGGTTCTCAACCTTCCTAATACTTCAGTCCTTTAATACAGCTTCTCATGCTGTGGTCACACACACACACAAACACACCATTTTTTTGTTTGTTTGTTTGTTTTCAAGACAGGGTTTCTCTTTGTAGTTTTGGTGCCTGTCCTGGATCTCGCTCTGTAGACTAGGCTGGCATTGAACTCAGAGATTCGCCTGTCTCTGCCTCCCAAGTGCTGGGATTAAAGATGTGCACCACTACTGCCTGGCCATAAAATTATTTTTGCTGTTACATCATAACTGTAATTTTGCTACTGTTATGAATCGTAATGTAAATATTTTTTGGAGATAAGTTTGTTAAAGAGGTTATGACCCACAGGTTGAGAACCGTTTGCCCTAGAGGAAGGAAGAGCAGAGTCTGTGTGACGTCCTGGAGAGTAAGCGCCCAGTGGGCAGCCACACTTGGGTGGCTCAGTGCCCAGGGACTCTGGCAGGCCTGTCCTGAAAGAGTGTTGGTCAACAACCAGTTCCAGGTAGGACTCAGCATTCAGAGTCAAGGCTCTGGCCTTGGTCATACAACAGGACCAGAAGCAGGCCTTCCCAAGTATCCGACCACCAGACTAATCTAACATAGGGCTGCTAGGGGGAAGCCTGGAGAAAACAGAGTACTAAGTGGATGTGGGGAGTTGGTATTTGCTTGTTTGTTTGAGACAGAGCCTCAATACATAGCCAAAGCTGGCCTCAAACTTTGGATCCTCCTGTCTCCATCTCTCCATCTTCTGAGTACTGGGATTACAGGTGTGCACCACTATGCCATCCAGATGCGTGGCTTCTGTGTGACAAATACCACC